GCAAGATTGCTATACAAAACAATGCTTTCCGAAGTTTTTCACATACAGTACTCCATCACATCCTACTTCACTCTGCCTTTTATGCTGTCCCAAGGGCCAAGGGGATTGATATCTCTACGATGCACTATTCTTTTTGTGAGAACCCAAGAATGTCATTTCTGTCAGGCTTTGGAACGAGATATTGCTGGATATCTGTAGAGAAACTCATCTGTTTTCATTGGGTCGATACAGAGATAGTGTCTGATTCCATGTCCCTTTTTACCCTAGTTACTGGGAAGCTTAGAGTCAAATCTGGGAGTTATTTTTAAACAATCTTATGAGACCTATGGTATGTGCTGCATCTTAATCTTATTTCTATAATACTATTTTCTTTTCTCCTCCAAATTTCACATTCATTAATTGTCACATTTTGTATAGTGTGTATATTTGCAAACTGCTACAGAATCACTTTAGGATCAGTTTGTGCACCTGTCTCTATTGCCAGCTAGCTAGCCAGGTAAACAGATGCATACAAACATAAGTGTCAAAGTACATTTATGTCTTTAATAACATCGTGACATTTAAACTGAGTTGCCTTTGGGAAATTTTAAGTATAAATTATATTGTGGAAACATAAAAATCAATCAAAGTATGTATTTTCCTAGTTTGATTGTTTTGTCCACTACCTGACGTATTGTCTCATCAATCTCTTTGCCCTTGGTTAGATTTCGTTTTGAGTCTGTAGTCGGTAGCTCTTTTCTGCTTCTCTTTCCTCTGGGGGTCTTCAAATTAAGCTATTTATGTGATTTAATTTACCTGTTATTAATGTAATACTTGAGAGTTTTTGGAAAAAAAATAGGTGAGTTCATTACCTAGGATATTTGTAAAAACATATTGTGTATACCTGTTGTCTCATTGTAGAAACAGTACGATGTAGCAGCAAATTTATGGCATTTGTATCTCAGGAATTTATCTTTGTCATTCACAGCTATGTGATCTTGGGCAAATCTTTTAATCTCTGATTCAGTTTCTTCATTTTTAATTTAGAGATGATTGTATTTGTGCCATTTGACCTCATTGGGTTGTTGTGAGAATAAATATAGTTTTGGTCCATGTGAAAATACTTTTAAGCTTTGTAAAATGTTATTTATGTTTTCTCTTAATTTTTTTTGATTGTGGGAAAGTAATACATTTAGGTGATAAAAAGCCATTGTCCAGAGTATTTGCTGGGTAGGAGTATATAAGTGTTGTTTGATATTTTTTATGCTTTGAGGACAAATAACTTTTTTTCTACTGTATATTGCCATGTGACATCTTCCTCATATAATCTTATCAGTAGTTGGCTTATTTACAACTTTAAAGTCTATCCAGAAGATTCTAGAATATTCTTTTTGAAATTATTGTAATGTGTACATGGTGAAGGATGGCATTGCTTTTCTGAAGACATACAAATGACTGTATACAAAATTACTTTCTAGGAACTGTCTCTCAGAAGGGGTCATGCTTTTTCATAGAAAAGAGGCCAACTTCCTCTAGCTGAACCTTCGGAAATTTTATCTTATATAAAACAATCAAATATATAAATCTATAACTGGAGGGAAATTTAAAATGTCTTTTATTCATTTTAACATATGGGGGAACAGCGGCATGAGAAATATAAGAGATTTTTTTTTCCATAGATACTCTTTCCAGAGTGAGAAAAGAAATGACAACAAACACTTGTATATCATTTACTATAAGCCAGGCACTAATCTAAATGCTTTACATATATTGACTCTTTTAACACTCAGAATATGGAAGGAAGCCAGTCTCTAAAATAAAATGACACCTTGATATGGTTTGGATCTGTGTCCCCACCCAAATCTCACCTTGAATTGTAATAATCCCTATGTGTCAAGGGCAGGACCTCGTAGAGGTAATTGGATCATAGGACCAGTTTCCTCCATGTTGCTCTCGTGATAATGAGTGAGTCTCATGAGATCTCATGGTTTTATAAGTGTCTGGCATTTCCCCTGCTTGCACTCATTCTCTCTCTCATGGCGCCCTGTGAAGAAGTGCCTTCCGCCATGATTGTAAGTTTCCTGAGGTATCCCCAGCCATGCAGAACTATGAGTCAATTAAACCTCTTTTCTTTATAAATTACCCAGTCTTGGGTATTTCTTCATAGCAGCGTGAGAATGAACTAATACGCATCCAGTGAGCCCCACCTCCTAATATTCAAGCTCTTGTGTAATCCTCACACATTGAATAGGCATGACCCATGTAACCGGTAGGATAATGAAGAAATGATGTGTGACTTCTGATCTTTGGTCAGAAAAGCTATTGTGGCATCCACACTGTTTTCTTGGACTGCTTATTCTGGGGATAGTTAGCCCACCATATCTTGAGGATGCTCATGTAGCCTGTGGAGAGACCCACATGGGGAGGAACTGAGGTCTTCTGGGAAACTAGTACTATGTCAGTGAGCTGCCATGGAAATGGATCCTGCTGCCTCATCTCAGCCTTCAGATGACCCTAATCCTGCTGTCATTTTGACTGTGACATGAGAGACCCCAAGTCAGATTCCACGAGCTAAACCATTAGTGAGTTCTTGACCCAGAGAAACTACAGTATAATAAATGCGTGTTGTTCCTTTTTCAGCATTATTGATATGTCATTGACAAAATTACATATATTCAAGGTGTACAACATATTTTAATTTACATATACATTGTGAAATAATTACCACACCCAAGCTAATTTACCTGTTTACCTCGTATAGCTACCTTTTCCTTTTTTATATTACTTGTGGTGAGAATATTTAAGATCTACTCTCTTTACAGATTTTAAGTGCACACTACATTATTATTAGCCATAGTTAGTGTGCTATATATTAGGTCTCCATAAATTCTTCATCTTATAATGAATGTTTGTGCAACCTTGATGAACATCCCCATTCTCCCTACCCTCTGTTCATTGGTAACTCCCCTTCTAATTTTTCCGTGGAGTTGGAATTTTTTTTTAGAGTCCACATATAAGTGAGATTATGCAGTATTTGTCTTTCTGTATCTAACATTTCACTTAGCATGACCTTCAGGTTCAGTATCTGGAGTAGGGTGTTACATAAGAAGTAACAGTGGCTTTGGAACTGGGGATTAGGGAGATGTTGGAAATACGTTGTTAGTGAAGGATAAAATACCTCGAACAGATTTCTAGTAGAAGCCTTATGTTCTTTAAAGAGGCTGATGGCAAGGAATTAGAGAGTGAGGCAAATACTATTAGAAGCTGTTCTACAGTAATAGATAATAAAGGAGATATTTTACTCCTTGTAGGATTTAATATGGATGAATTAAGGTTATGGAATAGACTGAAGTATGCAACTATTTTTGTGTGGTGGTTGTTTAATCATTTAGCTATTTTTGAGCCTAATTACTTTTCGCTATGTTATTAGGAGAGGCACTTACTCATGTTTGACAATAAAATATTGACCTTTTGACAGATACCTCGTGTCTGAGGGTTGGTCATAATGGAATGGGGCTTAAGTGTCTCCTGCAAGTGATAGGGATAAGAAATACAGGGGAGAATGATTACTTGTGATGGAGCTTAGTAGCAATAATACATTTATAGATTTAGATCTCTAAGGAAAATATTTGGCAAGCACTTTATGTATTTATGTGGCACCAAAAACCCACACAGAACATGGAGAAGCAATGGGTTCTTTTAGTTCCTAGCTGTGGAACCTTATGCCTCTGATTCTTGATTTGTAAAATAGAGTTATAGTTCCAGCCTCATAGACAGGATGAGGATGAAATTAGTTAATACATGGAAAACCCTTAGAACAGTTCCTGTCTCCTATTAAATACTGTGTAAGCGTTATCTATTCTTGTTACAAACAACAGAAGTTGTTATATACCCCTTCAGCTAACGCTTGGTTAGCATAATACCAGAGACATTTTATAATCAGCAGCAAAATGAAAAATAGGCTAATCCTCTCTTTGATTTTCATAACCACTGTCATGCATTAAAGTGTTTAATTCACACATTTTAAACTTGGCATAACCAAGTCAGTGTAATAAAAAAAAATGTAAACCTAACAACAACAACAACAACAAGCATTGATGATGGGCGCTATGATTTAACATAAAATATTGTCTTGAAGTTTTCATATGTAATTAGAGTAACTTACAATTTTTGAAAGTCTTAAAGCAATTCTCATAGAATTATTTTATGTTAGAATCATTTCCATTGATACTTAATTTCTTCAGTATTTATGAAATTTTGAATTATGATGGCTGTATACTTTATATTCACTTAAAAATTAAGTTATCTTTCCTATAAAGATAATTTAAAAATGGAGATATATGGAAAAGTTAAATTTTATTGATAAAAACATTGATATGTGTTCTTTACTTAAATATTGGTGTGCATTTGTTTTGTTCATTCACAATACTTTAAACCAAATAAAGTCGCATTTTATTCACATACTGTGAATGGTTAACTCAGGAGCTCTGGAAAATTCATTGTGGTTTAGATTGAATTTGAAAAATTTACTGTTTTTTCTTATCTCTTTCTAATTCACGCTACCTTATGATATTATATGTATTTTCATAAGCCTTGATAGAATCAAGTTGAAAATCATTAGATAGATAGAAAACAGTCAGACACACAGATAGAAATGTAGGTTTTCATGGATTTGAGTTGTAAAAAATAATGAAGTATTTTGTTTTAAAATATCTAGATTTATAGGCTATATGAGGAAGACAAATTTTTTGGAGATTAAATTACATATATTTACCAACTTCCTGGTGAGATAGTTGAATCCAATACTATATTTGAAGGTCAAATCAATTTTTGTGTAATAATTTTATTCTATATTTTTTGAGATTAAAACTTGACAAGATATTCAGAGGTCACCATAACTGAAGCGTCTGAAGATGACTATGAATATGAAGAGGTAACATGTTAATTTTAGGTGTTTATTCTGTAAATTTTTTGCAGTCATTCTCATGAAGTGCTCATTTTATTTTCTGAAACAGGTAAGAACCATTTTTTTTTTTTATTAAGAGATACTAGTTTTTCAACTGAATTTAGCTTGTATCAGCTGATTAAGAATGAGATGTGAAAATTCTATTTAAACATTTAAATTGGATAATATATCTGATTTTTTTTATTTTCCTATTAATTGTCCTTCAGGTTCAGCTCCTTATTGCCTGTAGATTCCTACCATAAACTGTTATCTCTGTTCAGGAGGCACTTCCTTCCTGTCATCCAGTTTGCTCTTGTCAAGGATTCCTAGATTCCCACTGCCCAGTTGGAGCTCAGGCCTTATGCATCCCTTCAGCTTAACTGTACTTCTGTCTAATGTGGTTCCTATCTCAAAGCTTTCCTTTAATTCTTTGTTCCCGAGACCTATCATTACTTTGGACACTTGGAGGATAAAATCACTGGTAGATGACAGAGGCTGTGAATGAAACTGTGTGGAAATAAGCCTGGCGAGCCTGGGTGAGCAACAGATGGAATGAAGATTGGAGACAGGCTTATTACTGGTGAAATGGAGATTATATGTACCACATGAAGTTCCTGGTTGAGTTAATAAATGTAAAGGGCCTAAACCAGTGATCAGTACATAAGAAGCTTGTGTTAAGTCTTAACTGTCATTAATATAATTACAATCCATCACATCCTTTCAAGATTTTAATGCTCAGTGAGTTTTATTTTTTAATAAACCAGAGATTTTCAGTTGCTAGTAGTTATGAAAAAGTGATGGCGGAGAGCACTTGGGATGGGGAGAGAATGGTGATATTTAGATAGCCTTATTATTTTTTCAGCAGAATTATTAGATTGTATTTTGTATTATAGATAAAAGCAGTTGCCCACAAACTAACCTTGAATTTATTAGAAGTGACACTTATTGACATTTACAAGGAAGTCAGAAGAAAGCAGTTATTCATTTTTCATGGATCTTCAGAATGACATGGTGTTTTACATAAAGTATTTCTTTGATCCTTTGATTTGTGAAGAAAAATTATTTCTAAAGTGAAATAAAGTATTTTATATTTCTGCTCACTTTTCCTATCCTTCTCTTCCTCTGTGAACTAGATACCAGATGATAATTTTAGCATCCCAGAAGGTGAAGAAGATCTGGCAAAAGCAATTCAGATGGCCCAAGAACAGGCTACAGATACTGAAATTTTGGTGAGAATTTGAACACTAGTGTAGTCTATAGTTTAGCAGTATGAAGTTTGGAAAGTTTTTTAAATGTAAATACTTACCAGTCCTATGTTGTATCGTTTTCATTTCTGTATATTTGTGATCAAGCCTTCACTTTAAGATAAGCAGTCATATTTACTCTTTTTTGGATTGCCATTCTCCACATCATGGTCACTCTTGCATGACTTTGTATCAAGTGACACCTTCTCTCCGAACTCTGATTAATCTCACTGGAGGATAAACCAAGAATTTTTAACATTTATGTTTAGAATTTAGTATCATATACAAGTTCTACAGTCTGTTTTGTAAACATTTTGTGTTTTTTTAAATGCAAGTATTAATCTTACAAGGAATACTTATATTATGACTTTTTCTTGCGAGGCTTATGAACTAATTATGTTAAAGAATGTGGTGGGGGATGTCTTTTGATTATAATACAATGAGCTAAAAGTGCGTAAAACTGATGGCATTCCTCTAAAATTGAAAACTCATTAAAATTTTGAACCATTTAATATGATGGCAAAAATATTTTTTTTAATGTTTTATTTTGTACAACATTAAGAAGGATGCTTTCTTTCAGTGATTAACCCCTTTACTACTGAGAAATGTGAAGGAATTTGTGAAACTTCTTTTTGGTTGCAGATTTGCCTTCCTTAGTGTGGAATTGTATGTGAGACTTTACTGCAGATTATACCATGTCATTCTTTCCATATTCTGTAGACTTCTTCAATCTAGAAGTCCAATAACTCCTTTTCAAAATGTCTGTCCACTCAAAATTGGAATAAAAACTCTAGAGGAAGATTTTTTCAGGCCAGAATTAATTGCATTCTGTTGTAAATGGAGGGCTACAGCTCACAGTAAATGACGTTCTCTAATGCATCCCATGGACATAGCTTCTTCTTGGTAGACACAAAGTGAAGTCTATTACATAGACTTATTAGTCTGTTGGATATCTCAAAGCAATAATTTGTAGGAATAGTTTTAAAATGTAGGAATAGCATTTTCAGTGACGTGCAACTGATATGTTTATTCACTTCTCATCATCCTCTTGCTTCACATCACTAAGGATTTTGACAAATTCTTTATGTACCGCTCATTTGTATTGGTATTTGGTAAAGTACATATGGCTAATACAGAGCTTGGCACATAGTTGGCACTAAATAAATAGCAGTTAAATAAGAGAATGAATAAATGAATCATTGAATGAAAAAACTATGAACAAAACTGTAATTGCTTCTTTCGGCTATCATGCTCGAAAGTGTTTATAGTGCAAAGATAAATCAGAGGGCAGTTGAGGAAGAAATCCATTGTAGTAGCTGTTGTATCTTCTGAGCCAAATATCAGTAATTCCTCTTTTATCAATTTATTGGAAGCTTTTCTTTATCATAACCTCACATGAGTTAACATTCTTGATTTCTGGCATGCCTATAGCTGATTGACTCTCATTTAGCTTCTTTTTACCTCACTTTAAAAAATTCTTTGGAGGAACAGTATTATGCTGAAAATTCACAGAAGTTGTCCTTAAGGTGTTAAAATTAAATATGGATTCATTTTGTCATAAGCATATTAGTTATATTTTTTAATTTGCTTTTTATTTCTAAATATTTTAATCTTCAGCAATTTGAATTGTGCTATGGACTTTCTGTTTTAAAGAATACTTATTGCTTGTTTAAGCAGTTTTTTGTTCTGATCTTATACATATTCATAAACAAGATATATTTTCTTCTATGTTAAAGGATACAGTAATCTCTATGTACAGACCTCTTAAAATTTTCATTGAAGATTGCAAGTAAAAGATTATGATACTATTAGGAAAGTTAAGTTGAAATAATGTAAATTGTCTTATTTGTTAAAATATTAACAAAAATGACTTATTGAATAGTTGACATTTAAATAAGTTCTTATGATTTCCTTTTTTTTTTTTTTTTTTGAGATGGAGTCTCGCTCTGTCGCCCTGCTGGAGTAGTCCAGTGGTGCAGTCTTGGCTCACTGCAAGCTCCGCTTCCCGAGTAGCTGGGACTACAGGTGCCCACCACCACGCCCAGCTAAATTTTTTTTTTATTTTTGGTAGAGACGGGGTTTCACTGTGTTAGCCAGGATGGTCTCGATCTCCTGACCTTGTGATCTGCCTGCCTTCGCCTCCCAAAGTGCTGGGATTACGGGCGTGAGCCACAGCGCTGGGCCAAGTTCTTATGATTTCCTTTAAACATGGGTAGTATAGATTAAATATTTGAGAACTGATTGCATGGTTTGCTTTATAAATTTTAAATCATGTATTTGATACTATCCGTTTTCTTGGTAGGTTCAGTGATCTGAATTCTGAATTAAATGTATTTTCATTATATTTAAAGTTATTCTTGAAAAATATTGAGAAGATAGGAAATGTTATTAATCTGTAACAGTTGTGTAGTTTGGTTATACTATCAGTTGTTTCTTGAAATTGAAGCATTTTACAAGTATGAATACAAGTAAAGATAGGACTATGTATATGTTCCTCAGATTGTGTCTGTGTGTCTGTGTGTATTAGGGATATTTGTATGTAAATATATGAAAAGAAAGGTCCAGTTACATTTAAGCTGGGTCTCCCCTTCTAGACTCTGAGCCTTTTTATAAGTGTATTTTTGCCATTTTTTTTTGATAATTCTTTAGCCTCTTTGGTTATTGATATTTTATTCTGTTAATTTTCAAGGTGCAGTCTCAGAGGTCCTTTATACTGCTATAATTCCGTAATGACTTCTAATTTTTATAAATGTAGAATTTTGATCTTTATGACAGTAGCAAGACACCCAAGTTGTATAATTGTTCAATTCCCTGATGCTTTTCCTCCTCCTGCTGCCCCTTTTCCTCCTCTTCCTTCTCTTTTTCCTCCTCCTCCTTTTCTTCCTCTTCTTCCTCCTCTGAGAATTTAAGTAGAATTTATGGAATTTCTTTGGAATACTTAACTAGTTTTGGAGAAGACTAATTGATGACTAACCCAAGTGATAATGTTCTTTACCATATGTATCAATAGTTCTCAAAGTATGTGGGAGGTCTTTTGGGGTCCCCAGGACCCCTTTTAGGGAGTTTATGTTGTCTTTCATTTTCCAACTACTCACCTGCTGGAGGATTCTCTTCATATAGCTCAACTGAGACAACATATCACAACAGGTGAAACGCAGAAACAAATATGGGGATCTAGCTGTTCCTCTAGACATTAAAAAGATTTGTAAAAATTTGTAACAGTGCCACTCTTCTCATTAGTTCTTTTTCTGTTTTGGAAAATGTAGTTTTTATTTAAAAAATTCTGTCTATGTTATCTGTGTAGAAGTTTTGTTATAGTTAAAGTAAATAAATGAATATTTTAAAATTTAATATCTAATATGTAATTCTTGATAGGTATAACTCAGATAAATAAGTGCTGTCTGGAGTACTCAGTAATTTTTAATAGTATAAAAGTGTTGTGAGAACATAAAGTTTGAGACATTTTATAGATTTCTATTCTCAGAAATTTTCAAATATGTTAAGAATTAATATAAAATGTTTTCTTGCTATTATGTTAATATACCAAAATATAGTCTAGGATTAGTAAATTTGTATTCCTTTTATTTTGATCTTAATCTCACAAGGGATTAATATTAGGTTGGTGCAAAAGTAATTGCGGTTTTACCATTACTTTTAACGGAAAAAAAACCACAATTACTTTTGCACCAACCTATACCATTATGTTAACTCTCACATATCATAATGTTAATGGATTGAATTTTGAAACAATTTTCATTACTTTTATAGACTCAATTGCTAGGTCCCAAGAAAAAGAGCTATTTGTCATTATTGAATTCGCATTCTCTTCATGTACACACTTAATTTTAGTTAGAGACCCAGGCTCCTTGTACTCAAAGCCAGGTCTGCAGATTATCCAAGCCAATATATTTGACTTAATGTGAATTAAGGAGTTGATGAAATGAAGCCCCAAATAAGGTAACATTTAAGTTTTAAGACCACTTGGATTTCATTGTTTATTTTTTTGGGTCTCACTGGTCAACTAAAGTTGTGAAAGGAACTCACATTAAAACAGTTCAAAAGTTGTCAAGATACTTGATTTTAATATATGGTTTAGCACTTCTTGCAATTCAACATTTAATTAGTTCTTAAGTCTGGAAAGTTTTATGTCCTCAACATCTTTCATATCCTTCTCTTTACCTTCATCCTCACTTAGTCTACCTTAAAGCTACCTTCTTTCTTCTCTCATCTGAACTACTGCATGCTGCTGGTACTATGCTTCCTTCTATTCCCACCTAAATGATGTGTCTAATGCAAATTTCAATTTATCTCCCCTCTCCGTAAATTCACATAAAGACACATTGGGTGTCTACCCTTCCACCTACCTTTGCTTTCTTGATATGCTTCCTGTTTAGCTTTTCCATTTTATCTTTGGTCCTTTCTCCATAAGACCCTGAGCCTTAATGGATTGAATTGTCACCCTTGTTTTTGCCTCAGATGTTTTATTGCCTTGAATATTGGTTTATCTTTCTTTATCTGTTGTATTTCCTCATTGTCTGTAAAGTTCAACCTAACAGTCTCCTTAACAAAGCCTTCATTCACCTATCTAAAGCAAGGGAAATACTCTTCTCCATTGTGTATCACGTCACCTAGCAGATTTCTATTGTTGCAATCATAACACACTATAGAAACCTCTCTGTTAGGAAATGTCAGCTTTAGAATGTTCATAGACAAAATGAAGCTATGTGCTAGAGCTACCATTATTTGTCCTCAACAGATTTTTGGGTCACATGTGACTAGAGTAATGTTTGATCATTCAGCAGTTTGCAAAGTGAGACCATGTTTTGCTAGTTTGTAGATTGCTTACTTTTTTGTGCTTATTTTGTGGTGTTTTGTTAACCTCGTAATTAAGTTAAAAGCCATAATGAGAGTTGTATATAATGTATAATAGGGATAAAAGTGCAACTTAAGTTTCTTACGCATACATAATGGTTGCATGTATGATA